TGTGGCAGCACTGCACTGACGCCCTACCCAAGGTGGGCTAAAGTCTGTGCAGGAGATGCACGAAAATAGACAGTGGCTGTCAGGAGAATTTCTCAGTCTGAATAACAGGACTTTCCCATCATTCAGTTTTAACCACTTGCCCCCTTCCCCCTGGAGCCAATCCCAGCTTTTTTGTTGAATGTATCTCTCAGCATTTTAAGCTGTACACAGCAAAGCAGTGCAGGGCAGGGAAGCTAAGAATGTGCTTGTACTGGTTATGCTCCCTTTCCTGGAAAATGTGAAGTGAATGAAAAACATTCTTCAAGAAGATCCCTGCCCCTCCAGGGTGGACATAGATGACTTCATTGGGGCTGTCCTCACTCTAAGTTGTCTGAGTCTTGGGCCACACAAATGATATATTTTTTCAGTGTGCCGAGGTGTGCTGGGATGCTGGCATTTCCTCCTCCTCATTTACATGGTCTTCCCATAATCTAGCAGTAAGACAAGCTGAACTGCATAAGGACTCCCTGCCAATGCCACTTGGGGCTTGCTTACAGAAGACCTCTGGAGAGTGATGGGAGGTGCTCCCTGCCCTTCTCCTCTGCCTGTGAAAGGGCTGAGTGTGCTACTTCTGCAGAACTAAGCATTCCTGCCAGCCCATAAATCAAGTGAGCAAACTCCATCCCAATCTCTGATCCACTGCAGAAAGGCCCCATACTCTGCCTTTACAGCACACACAGGGCAAAGAGCTGTATTTCATCAACTGAAGCCTTAATATCAGAGGAGAGTCGTTACCTCCTGGAAAAAAAAAAAAAAAAAAAAAAAAAAAAGCACAGCCAGAGTCTCACTAGTTCTGCAGCTTGGCTTCCCCATGTTTACACCAAATGACTTGTTGAACTTCATTATATACAAAGTATTTCCATAGATCAGAGGCAGGGAGACCTGTGCAGCTAACATAAAATAAATTACCACCCTGTGATAAATGGTTCTATTAGCAATCCAGATTGTTAAACTCAGATACAACAGGATGAAGGGAGCACTGCCCCATTCATTCTCCCTGCGGCAGATACTGAGTTGTAAATAGGTTATTTTGTGTGTAAATAACACATTAAAACTCAGCATTAGCCGTGTCTTTTGATAGAGAGGAAATTGTTCCAAATAAATAATTTCGGACAGGAATGTAAAATAAGCCAGATTTAATAGTGCATGCCTGCTGTAGCTGTGTTAAACATGACTAAAATGATAAACCCCAGAATATACTAATAGTAAACTATGCTCTGACATCAAAGTAATGAGGCTGTATTTTTACCCAGCTTTAGAAACGCTAAAATTAGTCTTGACAGAGCCAGACATCAGAAAAATGTTTCGAACATAAACACCATCAATTTGGGAACTTTGAGTTTGTGTCATGCAGAGGGTGGGGTGAAGAGGGAAAGGTACATTCTGGACCTTGTTAAAGTTGGGCAGTTAGCATTTAGGAGAATTTGTATTTAATTTTTATTACAAGATGAAAAACCTATCTTCCTAAATATCTCTGCCTTTGAAAGAGTGGCTCATTTAAATTTCCCCTACAGTCATGTGCCTGGGCTTCCTCATGCCTGTAAGTACAGAGGATGTGTCAGTGCCAGCCTGGAGGACACAACCCAGCATCACTCGTGGTGCTCTGCACTGAGCCCTCCTACCCTACACAGCAATAGGGACTTTGGCATTCAACAGAAGGGTTTTATGAACTTGAATTGTTCTAAGTCACCCTTCCAGAAGTAGAGACAATAAAACCAAGAGCCTCTTCTGCAGATCTAACTTGTCTATAGTTCCTACATACTGTCATTATGAACACTTTCTATCTCAGGCACACATACACATGTGCCCCTACTGTAAGAGAAAAGCGAAGCTTTGACTCCTTGGCCAACATGATTTATGGAAAACCAGAAAATTAGGAGAGACTTCCCTGATGTCATATCTGTGAGGCCAATTTCTGAACATCTGATCAATGAGTTACTATAAAAAAACTGTCGCAGATGATGTTTAAAATGGCAGCTTCAGAAGACTAAAAATATGGGATGCAAATTTTTAGTACAAAAGGACTCTTCTCTATTGCCAGCATCAACAATATTGATCTCTTTTCCTACAGCCATAACTTAATTTGTTAGAGGCTGGAAACATTTGGGACAAATACCCACAGCAAGGGAACTAGAAATGCAGACTGAACATATTGTCTTATAATAATACAGTCTAAATAATAATATAACCAAATAGTTATTCTTCAATTATTTAACTAATATTCCTTCAATTACTTAGAAATAAAGCCTTATGAATCTATTAATTCCTACAAGTGAAAAAGAAAACCTTATGATCTGAGAAACATGCAAAACATGCTATGATGGCACTCCTCCTGTGTGACTCAGTAGAATAAAGGAGAAGAAATGTGTTGCAAATTACATTTGTTTGGCTCTGGAGAGCAGCTTGGTGATTTGCAACACTGGCTGAGCCTCAGTGCCACTTTCTCATATGCTAATACAAAGAGTAAAACCTCTGCAATAAATGAAATCAAGAATTTGCCTTGGATGAGAATAAAGACTTGCTCATATGGCCCCAAAGCAGGGTGGGGAGCTCAGAGGCCCCCCTTTAAAGCTGATGCCCTCCTCAAGCTGAGCTTCCTAATTAATCCTCAAGCCTTGTTTGCTTTCTTCTGTAAAAATATGAGCATAAATACTCATAGTTCTGGCCTGTTGTGAGTAATTACTTTAGTTTAGGGAATCAAACATGTTATATTAGCAGGAATACCACGTAAGGAGAGTGTCATCTCTACCCAGCCTTTTAGTTATCACCTGCTAAATCACACCTTGCAGTTAACTCAGTTAGAAGACAACTTTGTATTAATTTTTCTACTTTCAAGCACACACACAAGCACGCTGCTCGCTTTCAGGAGCCTGTATTATGTCTAGAGTTCAAAGGAAAGCACTTGGAACCACAAGAGCACGTGCATCACCTGCAGTGTCCTGGGGCCAGCGTCCGGCTGCTCTGCTGCTGCCCATTTTGGGTCATTTATGAGCACTTTTCTTCACAGCACGAAATAGATTTCACTCTTTACATCTCATTACACAACGCTTTTATCACAATTCTCCTGACATCTTCAAACAATCCTCAACTTACTTCTCCACTTCCTCCTACTAAAAGAAGAAATATTGAGCCCATAAATCACTTTTTTCCAAAGGTGAGAGCACACTGCTAAGAGAACATATTATGCTGGATACTTAAAAACCAATTAGGTCTCCAGGGATGCCAGATGGGCTGATGGACACTCCACCTCGGGGCATCCTCATTTGGATCTCTGGAAAGGTTGTGACTGCTTCCTCAGTGGAGGCACTCCCAAGGCAAGTGCCAAGTGGGGAGAAAGTGTTTATTCACATCTAGGGGCTGTGAATTTTAGAACATGCTTGAACTATGTTGGGGCAAATCAACCCTTCAGGTCTGCCAGTCACTGAGATGATACTCCCAAATCGGCAGCCTCAGTAGTTCCTATAGCCTTTGCTTCTTCAGGGATTTGCTGGGGAATGCCAAGCTGTTGCTTGCATGCACATTGCTGTCCCTCTCATTTCTGCTTCCTTGCAAGCCTTCCTTTCTGACACTTTGTGCAGCACTCACAAGGAAAGTGGCTCAGACCCATCCAGACCACAAAACTGTGTTTCCCTCCAAACAATTTCGGCAAAGACTTTCTGGTTGCTTTTAAGAAAAAGTTTGTCAAACATGTGAACTAATCTGATAGATTATAATCTGTGAATCTGAATCTTCACAGGTCAAATGGAAAAAGAAACCTGAGTAGCAAAGTTTATGAAAAAGGAGAGATAAAGCAGATTGGAGCCTTTTTTGCCAAAAACAATCTTCAAAACTTCAAAACTCAAGTAACAAAAAACTCAAACTCCCCAGGCAATGAAGGTAAGAAAGAGAGGAGGTCAAAGAAGAGAGCAGTTCTGGTCTCCTGGGATGATGAAAAACCACCCTGCAGTGAAGGAAGAGGAGGGGAAAGCTTCATTTTGAGGTAAACGCTGGCTAGCAATAACATATATTACAAAACAAAAAAAAAGCTGCCTGCAAAGTTTACACAGCTGGGGTGTCTCTTGTCACATCCAAACTGGTGCAGCCTCTTCTAAATTTGTCTCTTACACCCTGTCCAGAGATGACAACCAGTCCCCAGCGAGGGCAGCTATGGAGGCTCCCCAGTGGGCACAGCCTTGCCCACAGCTGTGCCACCATGATGGGCCCTGGCACTACTCTGGAAATCCACCAGCACACCTGTACCACAGATGGGTGTGAGTTTTGCCTGCCACAGCAAGCAGGAGGAGGCAGGAGCAAAATCCCTGCACTTTCTCCTGCACAGCACAGTTACACCCACCAGTAATGGCTCCATGCCTGCAGGTGTCCACAAGAGCTTCCCAGTTGACTTCAACAGCAGCAAGACCAAAATCTTGCTTAACACACTGATTTGAATGGGAATGGCAAGTGGAGGGGTTTCTGTATGAACATTCTTGCCCAGGGTCTGGACATTCCCAAATTCCTCTCTAACCATGAAATCCCAGCAGCAATTGCTGAAGACCATGCAGTCTGTTTAGCTCATTAGCAAGATCACAGCTGGCACATGACACCCCTTTCTGACCAGGATAATGAGGTGCTCCCCATCTCCAGCAGCCTCACCAGGCAATCTTTAACTCCACCATGGAGGAGAGGAGTGCTGCTAACACTACACAGCACCAGTCAGCTAGTGGCAAGCATTGAGGGGATGCCCCAACTCCCCCACAGCCACCCCTCACCACCCATCCCCTCCCTCACCCCACTCCAGCTCTCCATCACACTACAGTGACATTTAGATGCCAGCAGTGACACGGCTTCCAGTTCCTCTGACAGCCAAGAACCCCAATAAACCCAGCGTGTTCACAGGAAGACAGATGCCACCATACTTATTAAATTCTTACAGTCTAATGAAAAACACCCCTGCTGCTTTCAAACTGTAGAAAACAAAGTACCTCCTTGTGCCACTGCTGCTCCCACTGCTGCTAAAGGAGGGGGTTTCTTCCCCGTCTCTGTAAAGCCATTCCCCTCCAGAACAGCACCTTTCCCTTCTTTTTTCCCAGCAGCTGTCGAAGCAGAAGTTTCCATCTTAGACGGACATCTTCCAGCTCAGGAACCCTACAGGACAGAAAACAAAACAAGATTCTGGTCACCACTCACAAAACAGACAAAATCAGCTCCATGAAGCAGAAGATGGTTTGGCAGAGTTCAAAAGCAAATGGCAAGCAGCAAAGAATTCCTGGGTTCCTAACTGCAGCAATGCAGCCAGTCCCAGAAGTCAGAGGCATAAAGGACACAACTATGTAAAGGACTGGGTGCTCTCACAGACCTACAAAAACCAGGATCAAAAAACAATCCCCAGCTAAACTTGGGCTACACAGTAAAGTTTACAGGTCCAAAGGGTTTTCCAGGATTATAGAACAGGTGAGATACAAATATTTAGCACATTTAAAACGGATTAATCCATTTTATACGTGACATAGACCATCCTAAGAAAAAACTCAGAAAAAAATTTCCAATAAAATACAGATAAACATGTATTTAAAGTGGTTCCTTTTTCTATCCCACTGTGGGTGCTTATGCTGTGGGCTGGTTTGGAACCAGTGTCATGATCAGAACTTTCCAGCAATGCTTACAGATAAGCCACAGCAGTTCTTCCACATCCCGTCAAGTTCTCACTGGTGAAGTCTAACAAACACTGATCCCTCTCTCTCCCAAAAAAGTTATTCTGTCATGACCAATTGCATCTGAAAATCAACCACAGCTTTACCCCCATTACAGATGGTGAATTAAATGCCATGAGATATCCACAAAACAAGAAGATACCAAAGTAGAAATAACCTGGGTTTTTAAACTTATGTTAATAAACCAGCAGCTCCTGAACTTTTTGCCAGCTTGACCATTTTTTCTGCATGATTCAGACTTAAATGGTCTCCCAAAAGCAAACATATGGGTATCACAAATTTAGTGTAAAAACAGTGTGTCTCTTAAATGAGGAGGCATACTTTGTTCTGAATGCAAATACTTTGTTCCCTTTATTTTACCTTGTTTGATTTCACATGTCTTCACCTGACTCCTGCTTGCACACAACCAGCACAGTTACCTGGCACTAACCCCTCAGGTTAGTCTTGGGAAAACCCACTGCTAATTCCTCTTTCCTTTCTAATTTTAATGCAGATCTGCAATTCTTCACATGCAAATTTTCAAATGCAAATTTTTCAGCTCCTGAAATACTCTGGAGTACACCGGCTATTTACCTTACTGGAATTAATGGGATCAGGGGAATATAAGGGAAACCAGAACTCTTTTTTTGTTGTTGTTTGTGTGGGTAGTTTTATCACCATTGTGCCAATTCAAAACTTCCCTCCCTTTGCTCTGGAGGACTGACTGATTCCTGAACATATTGAACTAAAAGATAAAACTCTCCTAAAAACTTGAAAGCACAAGAATTCCCAGCCTGCGAGGCACCTGGTGCCTGGTGGTTGTGGAGGACTGCCTGGGCTCTGGGAGAGCAGTGTCTCACCAAGCAGCTGTGTGCTGCAGCCTGAGCAGCTCATCCCAGGAGCCTTCAGGCATGGCTCACACTAATGGGACAACAAAGTGATGGATCTGTGGTCACAGTCTGCAGCTGTAAGCTGCAAAGCTCGCACTGGAAATGACAGGACCTACAATTACAGGCTTTACTGATGACACAAGGCTCCACTGAATACTGAGGTGGCCCCTCAAGGTCCTGCTCCGGCATGTGCTGGGCTTGATGGCAAGCATGAGATGGGTTCCTGGGGGCCAGGACTTTACAGTGGTTTAATCCAGGAATCAGGTTGGGTTACAGGCCACGTATGAAATAAATACACCCGAACTGCAGGAGTATTTGACCTAGGTCTGGCAGCCTGGGCTTCTGTTCGTTAAGCAAATAAACTTCAGAGGCTCTATTACGAACCCCCCACCTGTTTCTTCTTAGTCCCTCCTTTCAAGGCTTTGCACTTTTGTTTGAAACCAGACGCTGGCCCTCGCACCCCAACCCCCCTTCTCTGGGTACCCTGACCCTGGGGGCAGCCCGGGGGTGAGGGAGCATCCTCGGGCACTGCAAAGCTCAGCAGCCAGCGAGGGGAAGGAAGGAACTGGTAACAGGACTTGTTCTGTGAAACATGCAGATTAGAGACATGGTTTTTTCCAGAGATGCCTGAAGCAAAATCTCTACATCCCTGCCACAGACACCTCGGTAGGGACCCAGTTTTTCAGATGTGTCATTTATCCAACAGGAATGTGACAGGAGATCATGCCTGTACTTGAAAATCTGGTCTTTGCAGTTGTATTGCTCTCTTTTCAGGTGAATTATGAATTTAAAACAATATTCAAGTGTTTGTAATCAGTGGTTGTATTAAACAGGTAAATCCTCAAATACCAGATTAGAAAAAAAATAAATAATGCAACTACTCTAATCTCACAGGATTTAGGGTAATAAGTCTATAATTATTTTTGCTTCGTAAAGGTGCCTGGGGCAGAGCAGGCTGACTATGAGGTTCCAAGCTTTTTCCCAAGTCAGCAACAACTAAAAGTCATTTTCCTTTCACAGTACCCCACAGCCAGAGCTGATCACCTCAGCCCAGGAAGACACAAGCATCCTTCCTGCCAAATCCTGCTCTGCTCAGCAGCTCTGCCCACAGACCAGGACAAAGACCAGTGAGCAAAGGAGCACCAACACTGATTTCATATCCCACCTTCTGAAGTTTCACAGACTGGCCATGAGCTGGTGTCCAGCAGCCTTTGCAGTGGTGTGATGTGTGACCAGGACACAGCACTGGAACTCTGGAGATTTAGGTCCCCATCATGGACCTGCTACAGTCTCCTCAGTGTCCCTCTGGGCAAAAAGCTTAACTTCTCTCTTGCAGCCAGTTTCCAAAGCCGTAAAATAGGAAATAGTACTTTGCCCTATTTGCAAAGTGCTTTGAGATCCTTTGAGGCACAAGGCTATGGAAGTGTTTTTATTACCTGCATAAGAAGATATATTGGTGGAGGCAGTCAATCCACACTATCCAGGAGCACAACATTCATTTTTTAAGCAATGCATACTTTGCTTTCTGTTCGATGCTAAACTTTTTCCACTGCTCTGTGCCACACAGAATTTATAAATTCAATGACAGATTAATCTTAGCAGTGAGCTATTTGGCATGAAAAAGGGTTTCACAGGGAGCCTGCTTTTTCCTGTAAAGAGCATGCATTTAGGAGGGACTATACAGAGAAAGACCCTATGCACTTATTCAAGCACAACTCTCTGCCCTCCGTCATTACTCAGAATTAGAAAATCAGAATGGATTACTCAGATTTTTCCTAAGGTTTGTAGCTTTCTCTGCAGGAGCAGGGCTGGGTAATTGATTTTGACACTAATACCAGCACTATTCATATGCCCTGTAATGTAATTCTGCAGTGACACTAAAAAGGCAGCCATCTGAGATCTGAACAAGGAAAGTGCTATATGATTTGCCCTAGACAACCCTAGCTATTTTAACAGCTGTGTTGTATATTAAAAGGGAGAAATCCCAACAGAATTAAAAACAACAAAGTCACATTTGCCTTTGAGGGAAAACAAGAAGCCATAAACTTTCCTAATAAAACAATCCCTCCCCCAAGTGCTTGAGGAATGGTCTAAACTGCTGTCTGAAAATGCCTTTCTCTTTTGGAGGGCATCAGCCTGAGCAGGACTGCTGGCAAACCTAGGAGTGAATAGATACTCATCACCTGCACACCCTTTTTTTTTTTTAAAGGCAATTATTTCCTTATTCAGGATTGTTCTTTCATAAGGAAACCCCCTTTTCCTCCCCTAGACAGGACAGAAAACAGATTTTTTTTTTCTTCTCTGTGAAAAATGAATGACCAATTTTGCCTGTTTCTGCTCAAAGATTAAGCAGCACCGTGGGAGTGATCCTCTCTGGCAGAGGGCAGGCACTGCCAGTGACACTGTGACTCAGATTCAATCCTGAGTGCCACCTTCCAGCCTGATAGCCCCATGGAAAGGGCGGGAAGGGATTTCCAAAGCATGCTTCCAGAAGCCATCTCACTTTTGGGAATATTTTGGGCTTTTTCAGACCAGTGTGCATTTTCTCTTCATTCTGAGTTCATCTCCACCTGACCTCCCCACACACAGCCCAAGCAGTGCCAGTGAGGTGGCGTGGCCTCCAGGGGACACGCTGGAGGTGTGCTGGCTGCTGGCACCAGCACCACAGCCAGTATCCATTACCATTGCTGCTGGCTCCTGGCAAGGCTGATGGGAGCTGGGATAACCAGGGGCAGCCTCTGCACAGCTCTCGCCAGGGTTGTGCTCAGGCACCCACAGGGAGACAGTCAGTTCTGCCACATCAGCCCTATGTAGGTGATGTAGGGTGTACAATCCCAGGTTTGATAGCTTTTCCTGGTGTGCTGCTTTAATTAGGATAAACAAGGACATACTCCCACCCTCTCTTCTTTCGCAGTGGACTGTGTCATACAGCTAAAGCCTTCTGAATACATGATCCACTTATGAAATTCAGTGTGAGCCAACTGCTCTGAACACTGGCTTAATAATACAGTGGCTGCCGTGATCCTTTTCAGTCTCCCAGGATTTGAGCCAAATTATGTTCTCAATTACACGGAAGTAGCAGCAGTTAACCTGGTGAAGTCATAGGCTCTGTAGCACAGCAAAACTTGACCCCTCTATTTTCTTTTATATCAGCAAATGCTTCAAATTACTAAAGAAAGTTTTTCTGTCTAAATGCCACCAGTAAATCTTAGGACTATCCAAACATGCTGTCTGCTGCTGAAGGACCTACAACTGTTTATAGACTATCAATCTCAGGTAAAAGCAGCATAAATATTACTTCAGAATGAATCACTTTTGAGGTCCTCCTGACAAAAGGTTTCCCATCTTGACATTTCTTACGAATGGTTTGCTTGGGCCAGTCCTACAGGATTGATTAAACATGGAAATTAGAGCTGTGCACTGGGGCAGAAGCTCTCTGTCTGGGGGCTGCTCCTGCGCCTTCCCCTCAAAAAACCTTCTGTGGTGGGTCCTTACCAGCTTCTGGGATGAAAGGAATTAGAGACAAACCCATGCTGGCAGAAGCAGTGCTAGAAGGGCACAGAGC